AAATTTATTTTGCATATTAAGAGAGGAAGATCGATATGTGTGAAGTTTCAATCTGAAATGTTTTTTACCGACTGTTTGTGTGTGAAGTACCCGATGGGGTATACTGATTTTGTTCATCTTCGATCACCTCCATCTTTGTTGTTTGAAAAAAATTTTACGAAGTACAAAATTTGATCGACTCCAAATGTTCGGAAACTAATTTCGTTTAAAGAGGATTTGAAACCGTTTTCAATGAATCACAACCATGAGGCTGAGGATTAAAAAATAAAAAGTTGGACAATGGCAATAAATCTACGACTGCAGCTAGACCTATTTTTGTGAAAAAATTTATATCTTTGATCTCAAAAAATATGCAATATTGGTCCAGAATTTTTTATAACCTCTCTGTGGCGGTACCAACCAATTTTTAATATTTTTGGCGAATCAGTACTTATAATTTAACTCCACTATTTGATATGTCTCACCATAAAACCGTACCTTCTGATATATTTAAAATTTTTACAGCTATCAGTTTCAATTCTCAAATGAAAGGACTTTAACCTGTAAATGTTTATACCCAACACATAGTGGTAAATGTATTATGTCTTTGTGAATTTGTTTGTAACATGGAGAAGGAAGCGCGATAGACCCATAGATACTTTTGAGGACCTTTCTGAGTCGATTTATACATGTCAGTCCATCCGTGTGTCCATGTATTTTGTGAACAAAATGAAGGTCGCATTTATTATCCGATTGAGATGACATTTTGCAAACAATATTGGTTTGGCCCAAGGACTCCCATATATATTTCAATCGATTTCATATTAATTGTGCAACAAATGGCTAATATCAGTCCAAATGAATTTTAGCATATCCGACCGAATTCAATCTTGAAGCAAGTGCACCAAATTTGAAGGATAGCGGTTTAATCCCATTATTGTTTTTTTTTTATAAAAACAACGTTTGTTTATTAGTGTTCAGATATAGATATAGCTCCCATATATAAGTTTCATCCGATTTGGGGTTTTAAGTCCCTCTCATGCGCAATATGCACTCCACAATATTGATCTTCGATACCAGATATCAGATACAGCCCAGAGATACCTTTGTCAAATTTTATCGATATCGGATCAGATTTGGATAAAGCTCCCATATATATCTTTATCCGATATTAGGTTTATTGTGCATCAAATGGCTAATATCAGCCCAAATGAACTGAATATTGGCAATTCCGACATAATTTATCCTAGAAACAAGGAATTCAAATTTGGTGACATTAGCTATAGCTCCCATTTATATGTTTCATCCGATGTGGGGCTTTAAGTCCCTCACATTCGTAATATGCACTCCACAACAATGACATTTGATACCGAACATCAGATACAGCTCGAAAATAATTCTGCCAAATTTTATCGAGATCGGTTCAGATTTTTATATACCTTCGATGTACCTCTTCATCCGATGTTACGGTTATTGTCCACAATATATGTACTATCAGCCCAAATTGGATACATTTTTTTCATATTCAACCGTATTTTTCCATTTAGTGAAAATCGGTCCGTTATATCTATTGATCCAATATCCAATATTAATGTTATTGGGGGCTAGAGGTACAAAAGCCTCCGTCAAGTTTGTTGAAAATCGATTCAGAGTAGTTTATAGTTCCCAAATTATGACTGCTCTAAAGCCATGATACGCATTCAAATACGGTTTATAGTTTTTTGTTACGGGAGACCTACTACGGCCTCCAACTTTTGACCTTTCCTTACTGGTTTAACATATTCTAGTTGGACTTTTTTGATCTCTTTTTTGTATGTCCAAATTTTTTTGGAAATTTTCGACGAATAAATCGTCAAAAATTTCAGATTTTCCTACAGATGTGTTTTATAGGCTATAAGCGAAATATTCAAATCTGGAAACTTTTAAATCTTCATCTTTTTCTTCAAAAGACAGCTTTATTATTTTGTAAAGAAGAATCAAAACTCCAAACTATTTTATTTGCTAAACAATTCCTTAAAGTTGCAAAACAACCAAAAATGCCTTAATCTTATCAAACACACCATGCCATATAATGAACATTAATGTTCCCTTAAATTGGTACAATTATTAAACCGAACTATAAATTGCGTGTTAAGATACGAAGGCACAGTTTACAGGCGTCCCGAAAACAGAAAAAAAACAGGTGCATTAAATTTCGTGCCAAAATGAATACCCCCCATAAAAAGCACAGTATGTGGCGACATTTAAAGGTATTTCACACAGAAGTCACAACAAACTCGTTAACATGAAGAGGAAGTTATCAAGAAAACCCCGAACAAAAACAACAGAAAATACGACTTCGTTTCTTTCTTTTTTTTTTTTTTTGTTAAGGTAAGGTCTTTACTGGCATTAGACATGCAACGTGAGAGCAGAGGTTTTTTAGAATGATGTGTTGGGCCATTAAACTTACCTTTATGAGGACGAAATACACCTTCAAAATCTCCCGAAGAAATAAAAACGCCATTGTTTGCGATTAGTTTATATAAAATTTGTTGGGATGTATTTTATTTAGTATTTTGTTTTCTTTTCAGTTTATTTCGTTTTGTTTTAGAATATAGACTATAATAATTATTATTTTTTATTTTTAATAATGATAATGTTATATTATTTTATAATATATATGTTTTTATTTTATAATATATATTTACACATTTATATATAGAAGATCTTCCTTTAATGGTGATATTGAATATATATTTAAGGATGGGTTTTAGAAAAAATTAAATATTGAAATATATATTTTTTTCAAATAATAATAATGAAATAAAATCAACTTTGACAGAAAAAGTAAATCCTAAAAATTAAAGTTTTTTTTTTATCGGAAATAAAAAAGTTTTTAGGTGGCTAAATTATAAATTTAATAATTAATATTAAAATTATTTTTAGCAGATTTTACAAGTCATTTTGTTAAACTATTCGGTCCATAGTTCTGAATTTATAATTATTATTATTTTTTATTTTTTTATTGGGATTAAATTTATAGTTTGTTTGCTTTTGGTATAAATACATACATAGGTTTTTTTTTAATAAATTTTATTTATTATAATATGTTTATATATATATTAAATTTTACTTAGTTTTTTCTCGTTATTTTTATATATTGCATATTTGCTAATTTATAATTTTAGTTTTTTATATAAGTATTTTATTTGCATTTTTTTCAATCAATAATAAATTGTTAACATAGTTTAAATAGGCAAAACTGGCAACAAAATTTTAGATTTTATTTATGTTTTTAGTTGTTGTATGTGTTGTTGTTTATTTTTAATAATAATTAATTATATCATGTTCTGAACTTATTCTAATAGTTGATAACTTGGAGATGCTTGTAATTTAGAAGTGGACAGTGGAAGAAAGAAATATGCAATAAATTTTTTTCTTTTGTTTTGAAAATTTTTCGTTTACAATTTTTAAATTTCAAAAATATAAATCAATTTTGAATAGTTAATTTAATTATAATCATATATATCCTATTTCTATAGGATAATATATTCAATTCTAAAAAACCTCACAAATCCACTGTCCAGTCTCCACTCAAACAATATCCTCTTTAAATGTCGTGCTTTGCTAACACATACCAATATAACAATGAACTGAACGGAGAGCGCTTAACATAATTAATCATTGTAATAACATTAACTAAACAACTAAATAATAATAATAATGATGATAATAATTATTTAAGTAATTATGTAAAGCTATCTCTTTGGCTTTCTCACAAAGAGAGGGTGATTGTTTTTGTTGTATTTAATAATAACAGTGAATGAGAGGGAGCTTTCAAGTTTTCAGTTAATCATTTGGTTAAGGCTTTTTTTAGTCGTTAAGAACATAAGATAAGCTTTATTTAGGTTTAGTTTTTGTTTTATTTGTAATTTACACAACGGAAAATGCCAAGAGAAGCTTAGCAACATAAATTGCACGGAGAAATAAATTTTGAAAAGACTTCTCTTTTTTCAATAATAGCTGGAACAGAACCTTAAAGCTTGAGCAAAAAGCTTTAAGCTTTAAATACATCAAAGCTTTACAGTTTAATTTTTTTGTTTTATTTATGGGTAATATGATTCGATTTAAGATCGTATTTTGAGGATTTAAATAATTATTTGAAAATTTTGGTTTCCAATTCCGAAAATAGTAAAAGAGAGAAATGTTACATTCTATCTGAGAGAACTGCTTGGTCCAGAAAGTACAGATACAGAATACTCTTTTACTCTTCCAAATTCACAGAGTAACAAGTAAAAAAGTATAAAGTCCGGCCGAGCGGAACTTTTAATGCCCTCCACTTTTGGGTAAAGAAAACATTTTTATATAAAAGTATCTAAATTCAAACGTGTTTCAAAAAACCATAAAGTGGAGAGACCGTTGTGTGGGGGCCATGCCAAAACGGAAATCTCTATAGACAATTTTATACTTCCAGGATTGTCATCTACCAAATCTTCTTATATATGAAATTTGAAACAATTTCGTGGGTAAGTGTGACTAGGATTATCAAAATACCGAATACCGGTGGGTTCTGTTTTATGTGCGCTGTTTGGAAAAATATTCAATGTTCTGCCACCGGAGCTAGAACCCATTAGAACTTCAAATACCATTATTTAAAAAAGTCCGTGGAAAAATATGGTAAAAATCATGAAAATACCGAATATCGGGAAGTACCGTTATATGGCGGCTATACAAAAACCTGGACCAATTCATACAACGTTTTGCCACCGCAACATGGCTAGAAGCCATTACAACCTACAAATACCAATTTTTAGACAAATCCCTGAAAAATGACGAATATTTAGGGATGTTACAAATGAAATGAAAAAGTTAAAAAGTAGTGCTCTCTACTTATTTTGTTTGTAAGTTATACTAGATTTTCATGTTCAAAAACGGTGTCAAAATACAACATTTTAAATCTAATAAAATATACTATGAATGCATTTTTAATCTAAACAATAATAAAACTTTGTAGTAATATTCAATTTTTTTTCTCGTTTCAGGATCTTGGCCACTCTGAAATGAAATTTTCTAAATTTCTCCATACAACAAACCTAGAAATGAAACATTAAGGATCCATGGAAATCAAGATATACACAACTGATTGGGAAAAAAACTAAATATATTGTCTAAAGATTCAATGCAAATTCCATTATTTTCATCAGTTTAATTTTATACCTTAAATCTTCTAAAACTTCCATTTTTTATTTTCAAATTGTATTCATTGTTTTACTTTTGTCGCATTCTAAAATGTCAATAAATACAATTATTAAAAATAAACATTCATTTAAAGTGATATATGCGAGTAGTTTCATTTGCGCCTGAGAGTATGCTCTACTTTACACATTTACTCAAAGAAAATTACTAATAATATGGTAACACTGGCAAAGACATGTTTATTGCGCCATCTATTGAAACATATAATCCAAAAATGACAATTTATTTTTTTAAATTGTAAAATTTTACACTGTTTGCCAGGGTTGCCAAGTTGCATTTTTCTATATCAATCGAAAATGAATAAAAACGCACTTTAAACAGACAGTTATAGCCCCAAACTGAATTCCTTCGAGCTGGAAGCGGAAGAAGACTTTCGATTGCCTTAAAGAAACAGGTCATGTGCTTATTGTACACCGAAAAGTTAGAACATTATACAAAGTTATTTCAAATAATATATTCACAAAAAAACTATAATTGGTACTTTTATTTCTCGCCCAGAAAATGTAATTTTCTGTAATTTCTACTAAAATTAAAACAGAATCCAAATTTTCAAAAATTGAAAATACTTCAAAATCGCACACTTTTTCAGTTTTTACCAGGCTTGACACGACGTCAAAAATTTGTAATTAAGGCAATCACTACCTTGACTCTCTACACATTCAATTAAGACCAATAGAAAACAGGCCTATAGGACCTTAAATCACATTTGAACTTGACGAAATGGTCAATTGGTACACATTTGTACTCTCAATTTTAATTTAATTTAATTTAACATTCAATTTGGTTAGTGCCCTACGAAAAATGTTTTCTTTAGGTCATAACTTGAACATTATTTCGACTGATGTCTGATACTGAATATCTGAAGGTCCTATCGATATTTTCCAGCCAAAGTCTATGTCATCTGATATTTTGGGGTTAGTCTAGGTTCACATAGTTTAAGAGTCATAACGACTCAAAGAGATACATCTACAAAAATCGTATTTTGTAAACTCTGGGCATTTTCAGTCTACAAATTTGGAGTTTTACAGGTCGAAACACTGAGTGTAAAAAAACTGTCCAATAGGGAGTCGCAAAAAATCCAATTGATCCAAAAACCTAAAATATGAATTTTATTTCCATAGTAATTTGTATGGGGCCAGGGTTGGAAATCAGTGTAATGTATATGGTGTAATCGATGAAATCACAGTTGTGAAGTCCCACAAAAAATTTTGAAGATGGAATAAGATTTCGATATAGCTCCGCTATATACACATATATTTGGAAATACGTTATCCGATCGCCATAAAATTTCATAAAAATAAAAACAATGGATTAAATGGAAAATAAATTAGGGTCTTTTTGCGACACCCTATTTAACAATTTTCAACATTTATTTTTCCAAAACATACCAAAAAAAAAAAAAAACACTGAAAAAATTAGGGGCGGGGTGTAATCCTATTGTTCTGTGTAGATCCAAGTTTTAAATTAATCTCCATATCTTTTTTGGTATTTTGGACACATTTTTCAATTATTGATATTCAAGTCCTATAGTTGAAACAAAACTATTCCGAAAAAAATATTCAGGCTTTTTTAATGATTTAGAAACATTGACCATTTCACGGTAAATTCAAATCTCAAGAACTGACATTGAATATTCAATAAAAAGTGTTTTTCCATGATTTTGGATTTTTTTGCCAGAATCATTTAAAATCTATAACCTCCATAACAAACAATTATATTGCCACAATTTATTTTTTTGTTATTATTATTTATTTTTATCATTTGTTTATTTTATTTATTTATTTCTTTTTTTTTTTTTGAAAAAATTAATTTTTAAGTATCAGTAAATAATTAAATTCGATATAGCAACGTTTAAATTGCACGATCCTTTATTTTAAGAATTTTATGGATATGGCAACCCTGGCAAGAATTGTAAAATTTCCCATTTTAAAATTATTTGTCAATTTCGAATCATACGTTTCAATAGATGGCGCTGAAAACATGTCACTGCCAGTGTTGCCCATAGCTAGTAATTTTGTTTGCACACCAACGAAGAGGAAACTCTGGCAAACACATGGTTATAGCGCCATCTATTGCAGCACATGATTGAAAAATGGGAAATCATTTTTTTATTCTTGAATTTTTACATTTTTTCTTACCCCAATTGTGAAGATTTTTTTTTTCGACAACACAAAGAACTTTATTGCGCAAAATTTGGAGGATATCATACCAGGGTCGCAATTCTTCTATGAAAATGTGAAATAATTGAATTTTTAATGAATTTTTATATACTTTTGAAATGAATTTAATTTACCCGTCCAAAAACAATATATATTCAAATAAATAAAATCCCCAAAAAGATGGTAGATCCTCAACCAAATCATATTACACACAAATAGTAAACCATATTTATATCGCTTAAGTTTTAAGTAAATGGGCTAACATCATCTTACAAATGGTCTGCCAACGACCAAGCTTTTATGCAAGTCGAATATTTTTTTAAAGGATTTTGTTTCTTTTATTTCCTTTTAATTTTTTTTTTCAATTTTCTTGTTTTCATAACTACTTTTGTTTATAAAAATTGTCAGTCATAATATTTTCATCAAATTCTTTTGTTTTGTTTTTCTTTGTTTCATTTTTCGATTTAATTTAAAATTAAAATTTGGCCATTTCGAATTTTCTTAAGAATTTCGTTAATCGTTTCGCATATGGATTAGAGTCACGGGGTTGAGGGAGAGTTGAGTTACTAACCCAGTAAATACATAGTTTCTAGTTTAGTTTCATTTAGTTTCCCAAACGAAATAAATGCTTTAATTTGTTGCCGTTAATTTTTTATTCTGGTGGGTGGTTCTCTAGTTTACATTTAAATTGCCCCTTCTTGGTTTTTCGTTTGAACTGGTTCGGTGGTCAGAGGAAAGTTGTATGAAATTGGATTTTTCTACCTTTGTTTAAAAATCACTAATTTCACCCTCAGTTTCGGGATAAGTACAGGTAAAAGGATTCATTAACCATGTGCACAAACCTTTGTCCTGTCGCTTCTTTTTCGTAATGGTAATGCGATTATGATGTTCTTTGGAGAGTCCCGATGTAAAACTGCTCTCATCACTGTCCCGGGCGGTGGCCACACTGTGATAACCACTTTCCGCTCGCCGTGATATACCCGAATGTTTAGAGGTTCGGGGCGTTGAACTGTCATGACCACTGTCATATGCTTCGGAAGAGGTATTTAGGGGTAACAGAGGTAGTTGGGATTGGGTGGTAATGGGCAGAGTGGTATTCAATTGTGTCAAAATCACATCATCATGCTCTTCATCACAATGCTCCAGAGAGGATCGCTTCGAGGGTGATAGCAGGGCGGATTTTTCATCTACTTCATGGATATCTTCGTGTTCCAACACAAATGGTTTTTCAATTTTCGGCAGATTAGGATCGGAAGCACCATCCGGATGTCGCAGTGAGGCATACTGCTCCATACCGGCAATTTGCATGATACCATTTAGACTTGGCAAACTTCCTTGGCTAGGACTTCGTGAAGGTTGTCTGGGGAGTAGAGACAAAAACACATGGTACTTATATAAAAAAACATTGTTCGATTGTTAGTAGTATAACGAAATGCGGGCGGTGGGGGTTAGTAGTGCGGGAGTGTTTATTAAACCTACCTGGGGCTGGGTGGTCTATAGGGCGGCTCGCTGCATACACTCCCCGGTCCGGTATTAAAACGATACGCCGGCTCGCTGTAAACACTGCCCACATCACAACCAGAACGAAAGACGGGTGTAACTTCCGCCATGGCTAGCTGTGAGGTAAAGATCTCACGTAAACGCGCTAATTGGTCAAATTGGTTCCTGAAAAAGGGGGAAAGAAGAGGGGAAAATGAAGAACTGGATATCCGAAATTGGAGGATGCTAATTTTTATACCCTCCACCATACATAGTATGGAGGATATATTACCTTCGTCATTCCGAAATAATAATTTTGGACCTAGCAAAGTTTATATATTCCTGATGAGTGTAAAATTCTAAGACGCTTTAGACCTGTCCATCTGACCGTCTGTTGTAATCACGCTAGAGTCAGAACGAACTAAGATAGCAATCTAAAATTGTGCATTGTAATTTTTACCGGAATTGCTTAAAGTTGTATTGTATAGCCCCAAATAACGAGTTTCCTTTGAGCGGTATTTTTGGAAAACTTCCAAGTTCCATCGAAATGTTGGAGGATATTAAAAGTTCATCCCGGCCGAACTTTGTTGCTTTTTTACTAGTTAAAATTGTAATTCTGACATCTGGGTGGAAGGTTAGGCATTTTCCTGCGAATCATTTAAGCCTCCCATTAAATATTGTCCACTTTATACTGCATTTAATTCTTATCTACCTTGCCTGAGTTTGAGAGTTATCCCCTTTCCTCTTGCTCTAAATTTTGAGCATGTTATCCTGGGCTTAAGTCTTCGCCAAGTTATTCTGAGCTTTAACATTTTCACCACATAAAACCAAACCCACTTTTATCCACGTTCCAATTTTTAATAAATGCATAATTTTTCCAACTAATCTTTGCAAATGAAAGTAATGCTTTGAATCAATCGGAATCTTGTCTTTAAGGAATATACTATTCCGTTCCAAAGAGTTTTCAAATGTATACGTTTATATTTTGTAAATTTTATAGACTTGGCAACCCTGGCAAGAATTGCAAAATTTTGCCTTTTTAAAATATTTTTTTCATTTTCGAATCATACGTTTCAATAGATGGCGCTAAAAACGCGTCTATGCCAGTGTTGCACATTTTCAAGTAATTCTGTTTCCACACCTGTGAAGGAGAAATACTGGCATGAGCTTAAATCCTCATGGACTTAAGACGAAGTTTATGTTACCTACATAGACTTAGAATCTTTCCGACCTTATTCTCACAGACCTTAAAAGCTATAAACGATATTCTCGCAGGATTGATACTATTTTTCACGATATCCACTTAAATTCTTTTCCCCTAATACTTTTTGGTTTAGAAACATATCCTTGTATTTATTAGCCTTTAAATTTCATTCACGTTATCCTTTTAATCGCAAAAACTTAATTCAAGTCTTACTTTTAGACTCAAATCTAATCCGTGGGGCTAAGAACTTTATTCTTTCTATCCTTTCAGTCTGGATCTTTCAGAGATTATCTTTTTGGCCTAATTCTTGCTATTCTTTTAAGCTTAGAAGATTCTAATTATAATTTCAGTCGTTAGGCGCTATTCACATTATCCTTCTAGGCTTGGAACCTTATTCTTTTAGGTGTGAATCCGTATTTACGTTATCCTTTTTACCATTAAGGCTTGGTTCCATATTATCCTTTTAGGCTTGATTCTTTATCAGCATTATATTTTAGGCTTACAACTATAGCCACATTTTCCTTATAATCTTAGAACATTATGCGCGTTATCCTTTTTGGGCAAGATCCTTATCCATAATATCCTCTTCGGCCAAAAACTTTATTCACGTTATCCTTTCATTCTTAAAATGTTAACCTCCTTATTGATTTAGGCCCCCAACGTTATCCACTTTAACTTTCTAGTCTTGGAAACTTATCTGCGTTACCTTTGTAGTCCTGATCGTAATCTATATTATCTTTTATGGCTTAAAATCTTATTTTAGTTATCTTTATAGGCTTGAAACCTTATTTCCGTTATGGTTTTAGGTATATATCCTTATGGGCATACACTCAATATTACATTTTCCTTTCACGCTTTAAAATTTATTCACATGTTTTTTTGAGGATCAGAATCTTATCCCAGTTATCAACTTACGCTTGGAACTTTATACGCGTTATCTATTTGGGCTTGGATATTTATAACTGCTAAATTTTACGGCTTAAGTTTTTCTTAACGTTATCCTTTTTAGCTTAAAAGCTTATCCTTTTAGGTTTCGTCCTTTAAGGCTCGAAACCTTTTCTACGTTATTCTTTCAGTCTCGGAATATTGCTCGCGTTTTTTTTTTTTACCATTTATCCACGTTATCCTTTTAAAAATACAACCTTATAATTTACTGCTTAGAACCTTATTCATGTTATCCTTTTATGCTTTGAATTTTACCTTCGTTAACTTTGCCCTTTTAGATCTAGATAATTATCCTCTTTATGTTTTTCTTAAAAAATTCTTCACGTTATTCCATTTACGCTCTGGCCCTATTTTACGATATTCACTTGGCTGCAGAATCTTATCTGCGATATCCGATTTTTAATTTTAATCACGTTATTCTTTTTGATTTTGAAACTTATCATTTTAGATTTCGTACCTAGCCACATTTCTGTTTAAGCTCGAAACCTTATCTATGTTCCATCTATGTTTCCTTCCAGTCTCAGAATATTGTTCCTGTTTTCCTTTTAGGCCTTATCCATGTTATCCTATTAAAATTACAACCTTATCCTCCTTTTAATTTACGGCTCACAACTTCATTCATGTTATCCTTTTAAGCTTTAAATTTTATAATCGTTAATTTTGTCCTCTTAGATCTAGATCCTTACCCATTTTATGTTTTTCGGATTAAAAACTTTGTTACTTTATTCATTTTAAGATCTGAGCCTTTTTTACGATATTCTCTAAGCTTCAGAATCGTAACCGCGTTAACCTTTATGTGTTACTAACTTTCAACGTTGTATCCACGGTCTAAAATCTCTTTTAACTTATCAAGACTCGGAACCTTATCCACGTTATTCCATAAGTCCCAAATCCCCTCTGAACCCTAAATCGTTGTATATTTTATACATTCATGACGCCTTCAATTCTTAACCTCGAGTCCGAAACCCTTATCCATTTTATTAATGAGCCCCAAGCCCGGATCAATGTTATCTATGAACCAAAGTCCTTAAACCTATTCATAAAGAGTCTGAAATTCTTTCCTACTTGAAAAATGAATCCAGAGTCCTTATTCACGGATGCAACATCCTTTTGCATCATTCGACCCCTAATAGTCACAGCTCATTTTCCGCGTCCTCCAATAGGTTAAAATCAGTTTTTCCGTGAGATTCGTAATCTCAAAAATGTTATTCAAACCAACTTCGAAGTGTAGACTTGATTTGCTATCCCCTGCTCTTTGTGAGGTCAGATAAAAGCTTATTCATGTTTCCTATTCCCTTTCAATTATCTAACTCCCTAACCAATTTATACACCTATAAGTTTCGAATAAAAAATCTCAATTTTTTCTTACCTCGTTCTTTCACCCATGGCACAGTCACTGAACGCATCGCCAGCCATATTGAAACTTGATACAATCGACATATTTTCCACGTGACTCAGAGCAGCCAAAGGATGATCTCTGCAAAAATAGAAAAAAAAAAAAAAAAAAATACAAAACACCGTATTAAAACAACAATCAAACAAGTAATTTTCCCATTATTTCACCCACCCACATAACAATAATAATGAACCCATCCTTCTCCCCTACTTACCCTCCTGACATGGTACGGGCAATTTCCTCTTCCGTCACCTGCAAACCACAATCGGACATACCCATACTGTGCTGGGAGTAATGATGCGAAGACTGACGTGACAGTTGGCGTTGCAATAAATGTTGTTGTTCCTCGTGACGCCTGAGATCCTGATGTTGCTGTTGTTGTTGGTACTGTTGCTGCTGATGATGTTGCTGATACAAAGACTCCCTGGATACATGCCTTGATAGTATGCGATGTAAACTTTCGTGGGAAATTTCTCTTGAACCTAGGGGCTCAATTAATGGCAATGCTGGGGGTACCTCCGAAGGACCACTATCCTGATCTTCATCACAATCATTTTGTCGATCCATGGGTAGATTAGATTCCGAAGCCGTTCCGGTGGGTATGTGATGCGGCGCCTGGCTATGATGTTGTCCTATGAGGCCATAACCCACATTGGAGTGTAAGGAGTGTAAATCAGTCTCTTCGTTATTAAATTCCATATTGGCATTGGGATGCGATGATGATTGTTGCTGTGCCGGGGCTGGCTGAGAGTGGGTGGAGTTTTGCCGGTAGTGATGAGCTTCTCGAATTTCGGCAGGTGCTGAGGCATTGGTGGTGCTGATGGCATTTGAAAGCCCCGGACCCAAAGGATTCACCAATTCCAGTTGACTGCTCTGCAAAGAATGCTGATCGACGCCGTTCGCTGGATGTGATTGCTGCCTTGTACTGGTGGCATAGATGTCTTCTGCATTGTCCAGGGATTTTTGTTTCAGCTGGGACATGTGGTAGGTAATGTTACGCAAATGCTGGGCCTGTTGTTCGCGGTGGGTGTGTGTGGGCGATGAACCGGCCGAAACCGTTTGGAAGACTTGTGAAGTTTGGAATTCAACCCATTGTCGTATCATGGATTTCTTGTGGGAATCCATAAAACCATAACCTTGAGCCTGTGAGGGAGCAATGGGCAGATTGCCGGCAGTGAGAGAACGACTGGATTGCGACTTGGGACCATCTATCCAGGTTTCACATTGTTTTATATGATTCACCTCACGCATGAGATGGCGTGCCTCAGCCACCTTGGCCCGAGACACCCGGGGACCATCTATCCATTGTTCTTCGGTTATTTTGCGCATGGGACTGCCGGGACATTCTCCGGACTCAGTGTTGTTGGCCAGGGCAGCTCCACCCACACCGGGTCTTCTTAGAGGTGACCCCTTGGGTGATGGCACATTGGAAGCTTTGGAACACATCATGGTCATACCAGGATGTCGTAGAGAACCTGCCACAATTTTCGGCGATGAGGCAGAGTTGGGTAAAGTTTTGACACTGTGTACAGGCGAGAAGAATTGCGATTGTTCGTTGGTGTTATTGGCGGTGGAGGTGGTATTTTGGGCCCCAGTTTGGCGTGTGGGACTGTGGGTACCACCACCCCGTTTCAGGCTACCCGTTCGCCCAGCCATACTAGGACTTTGTGGTGTTTGTTTTTGGCTAACCACCTTTTTGGCCGAACCGGGTATCTTGGATGGACTTGGCTGTTGTTTCTCCACACCACTACCCTTGAGAGCTTTGCTCATCACACCACGATTATCACCGCTGCTCAGGGAGGGTAGGTACACGGGAGGATGTTCACCATCGGTGGCATCATCACCTGGTCCCATATAAATGACTGTGTCTGCTGATAGCTCTGAACTGGAAGGGTCAGCACCAGAACCCGCCGATGAGCCAGTAGATTGATGACCTTTTTTGGGGGAGAAGCAGAGAAAGGGCGGAAAAAAGAGAAAACAAATTTGTTTAGTTTTTAGCCGCTTGCTTGGCCATGTTGTTAGGCTAATGTCAACATTTATCGTCTTAATTTTCAAATTAATCAGTGGCAGGCCAACAGAGAGAGAGGACTTACCGTTCAGACCGGAAGCTAGGCCACCCACACCTGATTTATCGCCACCCAACGGAAAGCGATGTTTTCTCCTTCGCATGCGGTGTATCCGTGAAGCCAATTGTATGGTCGTCAAGGCATCCGTATGCGACTGCAAGTAGACAAAAACAGGACAAATGCATTTGCTTAGTGAACGAACTCAGAGGCCCTAAACAATCAATCAGTCGCCAACTTGAATGGAAAGGCGGAAGTGGGTGGTGGCAAGGAAAAGTGCTTAACGAGTGTTTGTTGAGCCAGTTTGACTGTCATCCTATCATCCATGGAATGACATTAAAATGCTCAACACACACACACGTACACATTATGATTAAGAATTCATTATCACGTATTATCCTTGCCCTACCCTTCAGTTCCATACCATATCATTCCATCCTATTCGATGAAGGTGCATTCCATTTGACACTACTTACCTGGGTATGCATAACATGGGCCATTATGGAGACATGACACGTCAACGGTGCCAGACAGTCTTTCAGCAGTGGCGTCAGTGGGTGATCCTTGTTGGGCGGATGCCTTTGACCACTTAATATGGCCAGCAGAATATTGCCAATGCCGGAGAGCGGCAGGCCACCCGTGCGATTGGCACAGCCACCCAAATCGATAAGATGTAAACGACTTCGGCCACCAGCCACTAGAACGAGAGAGAGAGAGAGAGAGAGAGAGGGAGAGGGAAGGAGGGAAAATTCCATGAAAATTCATGACATTAAAATACAATTCCCAACGATAATGTGGGAATTCATCCGGCAAACAATGCCCCTTGACTCTAAGGACAATTTGAAAACAGCAACTTTTTTGCCCGGTCTCTTTTGCTTTTACTTACCTCCACCTTTACGTGATAGACTGTATTGATAGACATGCAGGGTAAATATCATGGCTGGCTCAAGACCACCTTGTGGTCGTCCTGCCAGGGCAGCATCTAGGAACAAGGCAGCACGTTCAGCGGTGGGGGCACGCAACTCGGTTGGGCCACCCAGAAAATCGTCACGCAAATAAACCCCCGGAGAGTCATCAGAGTCTGGTTTATGGGCCAAGTTATACAGCACACCAACACCATCAGACACACATACACGCACGCACGAGAAGTCAAAAAGTAAGGAAGGAAGAGAGAAAAAAAAACGGCAAAGCAAAATGCCAGTTAAACAATGTGAAATTAAACGTTAAACAAACACACTTCAAAGTAATATAAAATGCAAATGGTTTTGGGCAAACACGAGAGGGAGAGGAGGGAGAGGGGGCCGAGGGACGGCAGCATTGCAGGAATATAACTTAAACTTAAAAAGCATAAGCTATTGTGGTCTGGAGGGCCAACCAGCCATTCCATCCCATTCCTGCCCTGGCGCAGGGGGGGCCACATAACTAAATAGTTGTAAAGGGAACAACATTGTCATAATGCAAAGAACATTTAAATTGGGGCCATGGGGTGAGCTGTCTGTATTCACGTTTGGGGAGTAGTTTTAGATTATCTCCACCATTCTTTCATTCATTCCCTTTACAATTTTCGTTCTGCCATTCACCAGCATTGTTTCCATTAAATTGTTCTATAATATGTTTAAAACACCAAAGGTAGGGATTTCTCAAAGTCAAAGAGAAAAGGAGGAGGAGGAGGAAAAAAACAACGTAGGAAGGCGTCGATAGCTGCAGGTTAAAATTATTTGTTTGTTACCCCCATAAGAGAGCCAAAAGTCAAATGGTGTGTTACATATTCCCTGCAAAAAGGATAACTTCTTTGTCGGGAGACTTTGATCTGCGATGCGGCCATAATAACTATTTAAATTGTCGATTTTCTTTTAAGACTTTTGAATGGCGAATAAAAGGAAATGGAAGTTCGTCTGAGGCGGATAATAAAATTGTGAAATGAAACGATGTGAAAATGTCTGGATAAAAGTTTAATATGAAAGTGAATGATTATTGCTTTATAATGTCTCAAAGAATATGGGAAACAGAGGATTTCCAAATGCCTTTTAGGAAAAGTGGTGGGAACGGGTTTTGCTCTGATTTTGTAGTCAGATTGTTAGTTAATGTGTTATACTATTAAATTCGATATTTATATAAGGAAAATATTAAAATATTATGTTTTTTTTTTTTAATATTTATTTAAAAGCCTTAATGGGAATATTTCAGGATTGTGTGAGTGAGGACTTTTGTGTTCCTCACTCATATTTTTTTCTCAATGCTTGTAGTGGGTTGTCATATTAATTTAGACTAATTATGAGAGTCAATACAATGATACCTATTCACGATATAATGTAATAAAATAGTGCAATCGAATGCACATAGTGCATTTGTATTTGATTTTTTTTAACAGAAAAATATAAAAAACATTTATAAATATTTTTCTAAACAATGAAAAAGAGAACATAAAAAATTCACGCTGCCACAATCCTGAATTATTCGATTTAAGGCGTTTGAAAAATATTTTTAAAAAACAAAAAATCCCTGAATAAATATATAAACATTTGATAGACATTTTAAGAATAATTTAGAGAATTTATAAAACATGAAAAAATGCCAGAATAACACTGTACGACAAATGTAACTATTTTTGGATATTAACGAAGAAATTCCAAGAGATTATGAAAGTAACACTAACAAGTAAACAAGTAACTATGTTCTGTCGAGTTGAATATTTAATACCATCCACCATTTTGAAGGATCTTGAAATTTTTCAAAAAAAAAAAAAAAAAAAAAAAAATCCGTCGAAAAATACCACATAAATGAAAGCCGCTAATTTTTTTTGCCGATTCCGAACTTCAAATACGAAATTTTAATTTCGAAATCAATTCCGTTAAATATAGAGTGAGATAAAAAACTGCAACAAAGCCAAACGCCATAATTTTTACATTTTTTTTTAAATTTTACAGAATGAAAGCAAAAAATGTCGGAAATAGCACCAACTTTCAGAATAAGTTTAGATTTGTTCGAATTGGTCATATTTGACACGAATTATGGCTTTCAAACGACCATTGAAACCGTCACACGCTACCCAAATGTTGCTCTGCGGTATTTTTGCCTATTCTCGACGAAGCGCTTGCTTGAATTGATCGACACTTTGGTATATTTAGTGCCAACATTGCTTTCCAAAGTACTCCAGACACAATAGTCCAACGGATTGGTATCCGGAGGTTTTGGTTGCCATTGTGGGCTGGAAATGGAGCGAGGAACCTCATTTTGTAACCATTCTTGGGTGGCTCGTGCTGAGTGCGATGGTGAGTCCTGTTGGAATATCCAAGGTCTGCGACCAAAATGTTTCCGTGTCCAAGGCTTTAATACAACCTCCAGAATATTTTCGCGATAATATTCGGCATTTATTCTGATGCCACAGTTGATTAATACGAGCGGAGAGCAACCATCGGCTGTTATGACGGCCCACACCATCACCAGGGCCGGCGCTTGAGTTCTGCTGGTCAACCGAAGGTGTACATTTTCAGCTGACTTCTTTGGCAAGTAAAAACGATCATTTTGTTTGCTTACAAACTGCTGGACAACGATGTTTTCTCATCGGAGAAAACCAAATTCGGCAGTTTACTACTTTCGGCCAAGCGAAGCAACTCTTTATCTCTTTTGAGTATATTTTCTTTCTGTTGCGGATGCTGTGTAAGTTCTTGCACTTTTTGGAATTTCAATGTTTTTACCCCGAGCTCATTTTTCAATATTTACCGAATTGAATATTGCGATATGTTCAGCTCTCGAGCCATTTTTCGGCCACTGCGTCGCGGGTTTCGATCAAGTCGCTTCTTTACTTTTCGAACCATTTCTGCTGATGTTGCTGTTTTCTTCCGCCCACTTCCTTGACCTCGGGCTACGCTACCAGTATCATGGTATTGAGCGATGGTAGAAGACACAAAAGATTTATTCACATTAAATGCTGGAGTACTCTAACGATATCCACTTGTGGTTTTCCAGCCAAATTAAAAAAATCACACTATCACGCTTGAATTCCATCACGAATAACTTTTTTCTGGAAAAGTCACACCAAAATGCTTTCGTACCCTTGAAAACAATATAATGAGCTGTCCCTGGAATCATTTTAACAGCTGTTGGACGAGTGGCTTAGATATGACAGCAGTCTGAAATTGGTTGCAGTTTTTTCATCTCATACCGTATACAAGACATTGTTTGCTTTCATCCAATAAAATTAAAAAAAAATTAAAAATTATGGCGTTTGACTTTTTTATCTCACCCTACAAAGATAGCTACTGAGTTTAGTTATTGCAAGGATCTAGGCTATATTTTCCAATTGATTTGGCTTTAATTTGGTTTATTTGGCCGTAGAAGACTTTTTCGGAATGCATTTCAATGTAGGTCCATGTTTTGGAGTGGCATCCATATTATCCTGATTTTATTAATTTTAAGGTTCTTGGCAATATTTCCCAGATTTTGCTAAAAATGATGTTTTTTGAGTGTTTTGAGTGTAGAAAACCTTTCGACAGATGGTATTTAATATTTGTACAGCTGATTGGGTGAACATTTTTTGTGGAGTTGCTGGCAATGAGTCAATTAAGAAAAAATCCAAAAAGTGTTTATAATTCCTAGAATATTTTTAATTTTGTGATTTTTACAAAAACGTTTATATTGGGGGCACTACACTCTGTCGAAAGGCTTTCTATCCCTAAAGAAACTAAAATTAATTTTTTGTAAATGTTTTAATTTTACATAGGCCGCTTGAGTCCATACAATCTTATGGGAATTCTTGGAAAATAACCGTTTCGCAATCTAAAAATATAAAAAAAAAAGATTATAGGGTAAGTGTACCAGTAGTCGGCACTTTTAGGATATTCGCGTTTTTAATCGCTCACAATTCTGAGTGGAACTTTTCAATTATTACAAAGTTAATTTATTCAGATTCGAAATTTTGTACAGTTTTTGCAATAATAAATAAAGTTTTAATAACTTTTTATTAAATTTCATAAATTTGTAGTTTTATTAAAACAATGCCTTTTTGCCAGTAGTCGGCACCACTTGCCAATTGTCGATATGGCATGTTCCAACAGTCGGCATACCGATTTTTTTGTGAGAATAATTAATAATAATAACAAATTAATTCATTAAAATATATTATTTTTGTTTAGTTAAACTGATACGACGTCTTCATTGTACTTTTCTTAAAAATATGGTTGTTGAGGACCTTCACAGACAAAAAATTACTTTTTATTAGAATAATTCATCTTTTCTTAGCGAAATTGTGCATAAAGATAGCTGGCAATATATTTGAAGTAAACAAAATACATTTAGTTATAATAGTTTCATTTATTTGGGCTTAAAAATAAAAAGTGCCGACTACTGGGACATGCCGAACTTAGGCACACTTACCCTACAACCCTTTATTCCCAAATTCAACTTCCAAAGAAGTAATCTCCAATAACCCTACCCTAAACGAATCTTCCTTAGCCCAAAACATTTGCACTTTAATAAAAATGTCAAGACGCATTTTCCACCTTTTCTTCCATTAAACTTACCCGTTGCATGAGCAGCTAATAAATCCTTTGACGTTGAATCCGGTTTCGTGGCACTGACACCCAAAGCACTGACACGCACCGAAAATCGTGCACCACTCTTCTGGCGACGTTCATTAATACCTTTGTACAGCCATGAAATGGCGCATGGAATGCCACCCAATTCCGTGGGTGGATTAACGCCACCCAACATGGTCTTGGACTGACCTGTAGAACATGAAAAGAAGAAAAAACAGAGATAGAAAAAACTCAAATCAGTGAAGATGGCAACATGAAAATATCTGCCAGATAAGCATGATTAGTTGTCTAACGAACTGAGGCACGAACTTTGGGGAAGAAATATTTATTGCAATTTCCTTGTAACTGTGTGTGTGCCTTTGTATAAGGTGAGGAAATGAATACAAATTGTAAGGCAGGCGGACAGACAGACTGCTGTTGAAAAAAGTCACAAAACGACAACTTACCGGAATTCGGATAACCAATGGTAAGCAGACAGCCATCGGAACCTTCTAGAACGGCAGGGATTACTTCAGACAAAGCAGATGCACAGACATCCGACTGAAAAAAGGGGGAAAATAAAAAAGAGATAACCATTAGGACACCATGAAATATACGTTTGCCGCTAATCATTGCAACATGACAAATTTGTTTTGACAACAACCAGACCCACTCACCTGTTGATCTTCCGCTGTAAAAAGATTATCGAAGGCAAACATTTTGGGTGCGGCCACCATGGGACCACGTTCCTGTGACGAACAGGCAGCCAAATTGGAGGCCGCTGCTGGATCTGTCAGCGTTACTTGACGCTTTTTCTTATCCACTGTCATAAAGTGGGGCGTATCCGGATCTGTGTGGGTGTCGGAAACACGCAGCATAACTTTAACCTGCAACACATCAACGTCAATATTAAATGCAAAAATTTAGTATGCAGGGCTGCCATGCTAACTCATTTTAAGCGGTTTTTAATGACGCTAAACATTATGGATTTCTCGGAAACCTATATGACTTGTGGTGTCGTAGGTATTCCGGAAAATTTGTTTTAACCAAAAATGTTCATGATTTAGATTTCATATATTTCGACATGCAAAAGCTATTAAATTTGCCAAAGCGCTAACTTACCTTGCCAATGCCATAATTCTCCTTGTTGGCTAAACGTCGTGCCAAACCGGGTGGCATAGGCGGTGGCGCCCTTTGTAAGGCGCCACAGAAGCCACCATTGCGTGCGGAAGTATTTGACATATCGCTGGTGCGTGATGATTTTGCCGATGTACTTTGTGCTGCAAGTTTTTGGGCCGCTCTACAAGTAGAAAAACAGAACGGAAGAGAAAACACATTAACATTTATAACCAGTTCAGTTTTTTGGTTTTAAATAATGAGAGTAATGGATACCCTGCCATAATTTTTGAAATATTAAGGAAGCAGGCTTTAACACATTATGAGGAAGCATTGAACCATAATATATGAGCATTTACATTGCGGTAATCACACAGAAAATAAAATCAGCGAACTAGTTTTAAAACATTGTTGATGGATAAAAACATAGACTTTTTAAAGGACTTCCAGATTAGGAATCTGACAATTATGCAGTTTTAATCCTGGAATTTTTTATTTTCTTGGAAGGACTTTTTAAACATTTTTTATATTTTTATAATATTTTTGTCGGTAGCTTGATGAAAAATGACGTTAATTTCCAAAATTATAAGCAATTTAATTTTACCGATTTTTGTCGGCACTGCAGATCTATGTTATCGGATTTCTTAAAGATTATTTATAACATCTCGCACATCTGATATATTATCGCGAATAGTTTATGAAAGATTTTTCTGAATTATTTCCATAGCCTAAACCATAGATTTTTAGAAATATTTTTTTAAATTTTTTTCTTTTGAAAAACTTTTGAAATTTCGGAGAAATTTTGTAGAATTTTAGAGTTTTATCAACTATTGAGGAATAGTCATTAATTTTTAAGTTTATTTTCGCAGGAAATATATCGCGAAATTTTATATATTAAATACTATCAATGAATAATCGTCAACTTTTAAGGATAGTTTTGCAAGAAATTCAGGTGGAGATGAAAAACTGCAATCAACTTCAGGCTGCTGTAATTTATAAGCCACTCATTCGACAGCTGTTAAAATTATTCCAGTGACAGCTCATTATATTGTTTACAAGCCTACAAAAGTATTTTAGTGAAAATTTTCCAGAAAAAAAAAATTATTCGTGATAGAATTCAAGCGTGATAGTGTGATTTCTTTATATTTGGCGGGAAAACCCCAAGTGGCTATCGTTAGAGCACTCCACCATTTAAATGTGAATAAATCTTCTGTTTCTCGTAACATCGCTAGTTACCGTGGTACTCGTAGCGTAGACCGACGTCAGGGAAGTGGACGGAAGAAAACAGCAACATCAGCAGAAATTGTTCGACAAGAAAAGAAGGGACTTGATCGAAACCCTCGTCGCAGTGGCCGAAAAATGGCTCGTGAGCTGAACATATCGCAAATTATCCATTCGGCCAATATTGAAAAATGAGCTCGGGGTAAACCATTGAAATTACAAAAAGTGCAAGTACTTACACCGCAACCGAAAGAAAATAGACTCAAAAGAGCTAAAGAGTTGCTTCACTTGGCCGAAAGTGGTGAGCTGCCGAATTTGGTTTTCTGCGATGAGAACACATTCATTGTCCAGCAGTTTGTAAACGAACAAAATGATCGTGTTTACTTGCCAAAGAGGTCAGCTGAAAATGTGCACCCTCGGTTGGCCACCACAACTCAAGCGCTGGCCATGGTGATGGAGTGGGCCGCCATAACAGCCGATAGTCGCTCTCCGCTCTTATTAATCGACCTTGGCATCAGAATAAATGCCGAATATTATCGCGAAAATATTCTGGAGGGTGTATTAACGCCTTGGGCACGCAAACATTTTGGCCTCAGACCTTGGACATTCCAACAGGACTCAGCACCATCGCACTCAGAACGCGCCACCCAAGAATGGTTACAAAATGAGGTTCCTCGCTTCATTTCCAGCCACAAAAATCAACGGCCACCAAAATCTCCGGATACCAATCCGTTGGACTATTGTGTCTGGAAAATTTTGGAAGGCAAAGTTGGTACTAAAAAATACCAAAGTGTCGATTACCTCAAGCAAGCGCTTAGCCGGGAAATGGGCCAAAAAACCGCAGAGCAACATTCAGGCAGTGTGTGACGGTTTCATTGGCCGTTTAAAGGCCATAATTCGTGCCAAAGGTATCAATTCGAACAAATCTGAAATTTGATGCTATTTCTATTCATCTCACCCTGTAAATACTTGATTTCTCTAGGTCGATTAACGATGACCGTCTGTCTGTCTGTCGATATTCGATATTTCGACGATTTAATTTACATATTGCAAGAGAATTGATTAAAATACGGTATTTAGAGTTTGTAACGAGTACCACAACCTGTGGCAGAAATGTGGGTCCACGTTTTCTTATAATGGTTTCTCCCACTATTCGGTATTTGAACGATTGATGGCACATTTTTCAACGAAAAATTTTCAAAAGTCTGTTCTAAGAATTTGTAATTTGTTCCACCTCCTGTGCCATATCATTGTACATATAGGTCCACGTTTTTCTATAGCCGCCATGTAATGGTACCTCTTGTAATTCAGATGATTTAAGCCACTTTTTCTAAAGGAATTGTTTAAAATTCGGTACTTAGAGTAAGTAATAGCTTCTAAGACTTGTGGCAGATTCTTTTATGTATGGCTCCGAGGATTTCTATAGGGCATATAACACTGATATTTGGTATTCTGATCACTTAGACACATTTTTCAGGAGAATCTTTAAAATGTGGTATGTACAGTTTTTAATGTGTTCCGTGTTCTGGGAGTGGTTTTCAACCGATTTTTTTTAAGTTTGGTAAAACTTGCAATAGATAAGAACTCTGTTGCAGGAGGCCGATTGGAGACTTTTTATCAAACGATTTCAAATCAAAAATGGAATTTGACTCAACATTTAATCCCTGTACATTTTTAAAAAAGGTTTTCTTTATCTCATGTCGGATGACATTAAAAGTTAGGAACGGTCGAACTTAACACCTTTTTACTTGTTTAATTTCATTAGGATCAACAGAATTTTTAGGGGAATATGGGTATCTAATCGTCAGCATTTTTAGGGATTGACGAATATTTTTTTCCAAGGGTTTTTAGGATTATTTCTTGAGTATTTTGTGCGACTACGAATTCTTCAAAAGACAATGGGAACTATGGTCATCTGGTTTAAAATTGGACTCTAGAAATTCTATTCTACGTTTAAAGAATTTTTTAAAACTGACAATTGATATTATCCTAAGAATATCTTTGCAGGAGAGTCTTTTGCCATTGATTTATGAGAAGAAGTTTTGAATGTTTCTCTGATTGGCAAATATAGATTTGATTTGCCAAAAAAGTTGGATGTTTTGAAAAGGGAGGTTTCCTTATATTACTGTAAATAGTTGACCCAATTTTATATTGAATTCTTAGAACATCAAGCATCTTCCCATTTTCCATATCCCATATCCTTAAAGAATCCTTGAAGAAAAAACACTCACGAATTTAATGAAACGAAACCCCACTTGCACTTGAGATGTTGACGTCTAATGACATTTATTAAAAAGTAAAATTTCATTAAGAGAAAATGCTTTTAGACCGTCTGAAGAGCACGACGAAAAGAAAAGGGAAAACATTTCTTTGCAACCGACGACATGCATGAAAAAGGCAGCTCCCATTGCAGAGAACCCCCAACCACACTGGAAGTTGTACTCAACTATTTGGGGTAGAAGAAAAGTCGTAAAAAAATTAAAGTGAACAACGTTGGTAACATGGCTTCTTGCCGTCAAATGGCAGCAGTACTTAAAAGTCGTGTTGTAAGTGAAACTGGCACCACCCATACAAGCAACGTGTATGAGAATGTGTGTGAGTTGTAATAAAATGTTGTATTGCTGTTAGAATTGCATTTCATTAAATGGAACACAGGAGTTCTTAGTTGAATTCTATTAAAAAAATCAAGAAGAAGAAGAAGCTGAAGAAAAACTGCAAGACTTGTGCAACATTTTTTATGGGGCAATAAAATTTATGTGACACTCATTAAAATGGCAATAATTTAATACTTCGTCAATTTCATTTGTAGCTTGTCGTAATGATTTGTGGTATTTAAGAGATCTATTTAATGGCATTTTATGATGATTTCATGAATTTTTACGGCTCGCCCAGAGATGGGTGGTCAAAAGCTATTATTTTTATTAAAGAGAAGAAAGGAATTAAGACAAATTTAATACTAAATACCATTTTGCCATTCGGTGTTTAAGTCAACAGCCAAATTTTTCTTAAAGAGCCTAAACATCATTATATTTAAAATTATTTTTGATATTGTAATAATAATTTTTAGGTGTCTTTTTAATGCGTATTCCCAAACCCTATTTAGCAAGTGTATATTTCATTTAAAAGTTCAAACAGCCATCTAAGAGTCATAATCTTAAATAATATGGCAATAAATGAATAAATTTATATTCTATATACCCCAAGGACATATGTGAGTGATATTTCATAAAACTTTTTTCCAAACTTTGCCCATTATTAGGCAATTGAGACTACCACTGGCAGTGGCAGCTTGGCAGACAGTTTGTCAGTTGAACTTAAATTATTCAGCGAAAGATTTGTTACAAATTTTAGCGTAGCTGGAATTGAAGGAGACATGGAATTTTCGAGCTTTTATTTTTATTAAAAACCATGACAGACAAAAGGCAAACAAAACTGACAGCTGTCTAGAATATCACATGACACAAGAAATTGGGAAAGGAAATTTTGACAGTTGGTTTTTTGGCGGGGGGTGGGGTTAAGAAAATATTGGTTAAAAGAAATGGTTCATTTTTAACTCCGCAAGAAATGATTTTTCGATTTGTTTTACCAAAATTATTTTTAACATTTTTCGTCGGAAAACATTTATAATATTGTGGTTGAATGACTTTCCACGTTTGGAAATGATATCGCACTTTCAGAACTTTCATTTGAATATTTAATGAAAAGTGAAATTGTTTTGGCTACTAACCGCTATCACTGTCATACGAAACCGCAAAATGTAATTTTTATACCCTACACAAGAGTATGGAGAGTATATTAAGTTTGTCATTCCGTTTGAAACACCTCGTATATATATTTTAGATCAGCATAAAATTCTATGATTTCGCGATTTATTTTACTTAAATGTAAGGACTTTTGGTATTGAAAATGGGCCGTGTAGGTCTACGTTTTAGTATAGCCCCCATATAATGGTACCGCCCGATA